CCCCCCCCCCCCCCCCCCTTTAGGAGTGATTGTTTCCACACCAACTGGGAGCACGGCGTACGCTGCAGCGGCAGGAGCCTCAATGATTCACCCCAACGTTCCCGCCATAATGATCACCCCCATCTGTCCGCATTCCTTATCGTTCCGACCAATAGTTGTACCGGCAGGAGTGGACCTCCAGGTAATGCCATTGTCTGTGATACACCAGACTGAGGGAACTTGGGTAAACCCACCTTCAGCAATAACGCCTTCAACAAAAAAAACTTTCAGCAGAAAGAGTGGCTGGGGAGCAGGATGTCAGTATAAATACACCCCCATTATCTCAAAGGCAAAAATACTGCAGAAGCTAGGAATCTGAAACAAACACAGAAAATGCTGGAGGAACTCAGCGTCTGTGGAGGGAGAAACAGAGTTAATGTTTCCAGTTCAGTTTATCCAGAGTTCTGAGGAAGGGTCACCGGACTCAAAACATTAACTCTATTTCTCTCTGCACAGATGCTGCCAAACCTGCTGAGTTTCTCCAGTATTCTCTGTGTGTGCCTTCCCTGTTGTGTCACGTTTGCAATTGGTTTTATTGGGCTGGTGAATGTCATGCTCTGGTTTGAACCTGACTGCCCGTTTTCGTCCTCGCATCCACCAACAGCTGAAGGCTTCAGGGACTCCTGCATCAGACGATTCACTGTTGATTTTCCCTTTGCAATTGATTCCTCTTGTTGTCCCACCTCAAATTGAGAAAAGAATAACCCTTCTAACACTGCACTCAAACCCCCTCAGCACTTACAGTTTGAAAAATGAACTAACTATCTTCTGACCTGATCCACTCCCATTGTTTTCTGCAGCCCTCCCACTTGGTTTATCATCATATCTGACTGTTTTATCAGTCACAGTAAAGATGATAGGCTGGTCGGCTAATTCCAGGTGGCTGAACCATCCTCCGTCAGATACAGTGGAAATCTCCCAAGCAACGCGCCTCCCTGAACTTTGCTGCAGATTTGCAGAAACTGGGGCAAGGAGAAAGAAATAATTTGAAAGATGTGATGAGGATTTTGACCAGTCCTTTGCCCAAGTTGGGAACTATTTGAGAAGCACCACCATTCTGGAGCCTGGACTTGTGTGTCATGGAATTAAATTTCTTAAACTTTATTTTTTCAAATGCACGGCCCCTAATAATGTAGATGAGCGGGAACTGTTGCCACAATGGAACCGATGTTTTCACTTTAAATTTAAATTGGACAGTGCAGAAACCAATCTGAGTTTGAGCCACATTCTGAATTTTCTTCAGCTGGTTGTTATCCCCTTGTTTTGGAGCATGTTTTTCCACAACCATGAACATTCTGTCATGACCTGTCTCCCGTTTTCACCCGGCTCCACTTGGCCATTGGTGATCTCTTTGGATGTGGTTCAGATACAGTTTGATCCTGAAACCTGGGTTTTGTTTACAGATTATGCTGTCACCGGATGCTAGGAACACTGCGTGGATTTCATTTGATGGACGGAAGCGCCAAGAGATTTGCCATGGTGACAGGTAAGCCTCAAGAGGCATTGCCAGGTGCATGTGACAGTCTCTCTGAAGGTGACACTTCCTTACTGCACCCGAATGGAAGGGCGGCTCTGATCTGGTGACTGGTGAAATGTCCCAGCTTTGAACAGTAGAACAGAAGTTTATTATACAAAAGTAATCAAATGAGAAAATGAAGCCACAGAAAATGATTAAGGTCAAACCATTGAATGTTTTCAAGAAAATGTTAGATGTGAGCTATATCTAAGACTAAAGGGATCAAAGAATACAGGCCAAAGCGGGAGCAAGGTACGGAGTTAAATGATCAGCCATGATCTCATTGAATGGTAGCACAAAGGGCTGAATGGCCTACTCCTACTCCTGTTGTTCCTATCTACAAAAAAACACACAGTTTGAAAGTTTTCAAAACACACAGGAAATCAAAATGCTATCTACTCCCCAACGTTATCATTTTACAGTTCAAAGTCCGGAGAATTCTTTTCCGGTCCAATCTGTAGTTTGACTTTAATGGTTTCTTCTGAGTGGCAGTCCTGAGAGCCGAGAGACCTTTACCCTCGACTAACGTGCAACCATGAGCTTAGACTTTCCCAGTCTTTTAATAATCTGCAGAATTCTAACCCCACACACCTAATCTAGAAGTTTCACAAGCTTTTTCACAGAAGTAACTTATTTTCTTAACTGCTGTGAACAATCTCCTTTACCTGGGAGAAACGTTACTTGCTTCTGACCCTGGTTTGATCTCCTACAATAAAAACCGAAAGAACTGCGGATGCTGTAAATCGGGAACAAAAACAGTTGCTGGAAAAGCTCAGCAGGTCTGGCAGCACCTGTAAAAGAAAAAACAGAGTTAACGTTTTGGGTCCAGTGACCCTTCTTCAGAACACTACACTGAGTAGGGGTCACCGAGCCCAAAATGTTAACTCTGTTTTGATCTCCTACAAACGGCCCAAAAGCTTTTGACCAATTTTTATTTTAAAGTTGCTCATCCTAAACTCTGTAAAACTGGTGGTTTGATGTTTTCTCTCTCCAATCATTAGCTCCCACAGAATAAACAAGCTTCCATTAACACTCCAGGGGTCTTTGCAATCACCAGCTCCCTGACGCACACTGGTTTAAAATGATGGTTTTGTAAAGTCTGACTGAGTTGATTATTAAACCCCTTCACAAAAATGGAACAACCATATGCCTAGTTAAACAACTAGTTAAAGAAAATGGTTCATACATAAATCTCACACTTAATTCACAGTACCTGTAAATCTGAATCAATGTGGAAGATTGCCACTTTGGAGTTGTTGACTATAACAAGCCTTTTGTGAATGAAGTCACCTGTAACATTCTCAAGTGACATTGTTCATGTCTTGTATTTTGCAAACGATTTAGTGAAAATTTGCTTAAGACCTAAGGAAACAAAATGTCTTCCCAAAGTGTATTAATTTAATTTAAATAAATAAACCTCTCTCCTCTTTTATTCCCAGCTTCCCCAACAGGCATTTTCTTGTAGTTTATAAGCTGTTGATCCTGTTACATTTACACATTGGTCTGATTTGGCATCAGTGGGATCTCTATCACTTGCAGCCTGTGTGTAGTTTGGCGCTTATTAACAGCATGGTCATCTCGCTGTTAGTGACAGGAGCTAAACCAGAGCGAGCACAGGGGAATAATGATGTGGAGGTGCCAGTGTTAGACTCGGGTGGACAAAGTCAGGAGTCATACGACACCAGGTTATAGTCTGATAGGTTTATTTGAAATCGCAAGCTTTCGGAATGCTGCACCTTTGTCAGGTGAAGGGGAATGATGCAGAGAGGAGTGGGGAAGAGGCCATGAGAGAGATTTGCACTTGTTCAATCTAGACTGACTTTTCTTTTTATCAGCATCACCATTACTACCTCCTGCTACCCAGTCCCTTCGATATGCTTCAGGGACCCAGTGAATGATTGGTTCGATAGTTTGGCTGAGTGTTTACACTGGAACGTGAGAAAGAAGCAAAGTCACCTAACAGATGTGGAGGATTTCTGAGAGTGGTTCGGGAACAGCATGCCTGTAACATCCATCTCCAATGGAGGTCCTTTCAACCTGCAGCATTGCAAAGAGCATTCCTACATATCAGAAGAATCTGTTTTGTCTGCGCTGCTTAAACAGACACACAGGAGCATCACCCTCTCCAGCCATTTGGTAAACAGTGAGGTTTTAATACTTGTTGCAGATTGGGTAAAGACAGTCACATGTTTGAAAGTACCAAATACAGAGAAGATGGTTCCAGAGAGAGCATTTCGATGATGTTTGCAGCATTTGATGCTCTGGCATCTTAGGAAATGTCACCCAACTCCTCATAAATATCATTCATATCGAAAGACTTGAGAGAAATATTGAAGAAGGATTCGAGTTGGCTGTTTACTGCTTTCTTCAGTTGTTCTGAAGGAGTGTGGTGTTTGAAATGCACTAAAATGTGGATCTGTTTCTGAACGCTGTGGCCATGGCACTTAGTCCAATGTCCCCCTCTCTCCCAGACCGACCGACCGTACCTGGGGACAACCCTGTCAGATACTCTGTACAAACTCCATCTCTCTCCTTTCGCTGACCCCGTTTTCTCTTTGTTTATTTTTCCAGCTGTGCTTTTTTGTTATAGTTTAAAGTGATGTTTTTATAAAGCAAGAATGATGAGCCTGTGATCTGCTATCAGCACTGGGCTCCATGGTGTGGGGGAAGGACTTTTACTGAGTCAGCACCTGCTTTGGGTTCAGTTTTACCTGAGATTCTCAACTTTGTCAAACTCCGATGTGAGCACAGCATGTTCATCGTCTCTTTGTTCTTTTCACTTGAACATCAGAAGTGCTGAAGTGCAGGGTATATTCTTTGAGGCGAGGTGGGGGTGGTGGGCCATCAGTTAGCTCAGTTGGCTGGACAGCTGGTCTATGATGCAGGGTGATACCAACAGCGTGGGTTCAGTTCCTGAACTGGCTGAGGTTACTATGAACGACTTTCCCTCTCAACCCCTCCCTGAGGCGTGGTGACCTTCAGGTTAAACCCACCGCCAGTCACCCCTCTATAATGAGACAGCAGCCCTATGATCCTCTGGGACTACGGTGACTCTATTCTTTGAGAATGAAGAGTACCATGTGAATATTTGCTTGATTAAAACAAATCTTGTAAAGCTTTGACAAAAGCAGAAAAAATACAAAAGCAGAGCCGATCACATAAGGGTTAAAGGATAATTTATTTCCTCTCCTCCATTTTCCTTTCAGTATTTATTGTTGACAATCTCTGATGTTGCTGCTTCCCAATACCCTGGCTTTTTGTCCCATGTTGTAGCTGCTGTTGAGGACTGATTACATTGTAAGCTGGTCTTGTGTCAATTATCAGATTCTCCTGAGGCTAAGTCAGGGATAGTAAATCAGTCAAATTCTTCACCCCTCCTCTCTGCACCCAGAGGAACACGATTTTAAAATTATTGTGATTTATTAAGTGGGATGTTCTCTGTGGCGTAAATCTCTTGTGTGTCATTTAAAGAGGAACAATGAGCAAGCATTTTCAGCACTTCAAGGAGAGGTGAATGTTGCAGCATTGAGCACGGTGATAACACGAACCCAGTCAAGCATCTGACAGACTGAGCCATCAACACATCTCGCTGCTGGAACTGTGTGGCATGTTGCTCACTCAAAGGGTTGAAAATCCTGCATGACCTTTGGCTGATGGGTTCAATTTGTATCCGAGTTGGAGCTACGTCCCAAGAATTGTCTGCCACAGAAATTCACTAAAAGTAAAGATTAGTGCTGCATTTTGCAGTCTGTTGCTGTCATTGCTAATGACTTGAGTCTATTTCTGAAGCCATTGTTAAAGCTGCTGAAGCTTCCATTACAGCAGCTGGTTAGCAGTAGTCACCCTTCCTGGGCTGGTTTCCATTCTGACCTTGTGAGGTGCAGACATCCAGGTGCCATCATTAAGGATTCTTCTTCCAGTCAACATCCAAATGCACAAAATCTGATGTAATTAGGTAACAAATGAGAATTTTCAAAACTTTTGGATTTTAATAGACCACCAATCTGTCTGGAAGAGGTTACACTAAAAGTCTGAAACCAACCTAAATGTATCCAGCCTATATAGGTAGAATTTTACGGTGCAGTTCTCAGTAAACACACAGTTGTTTGATCATTACTGATCCCGGTTCAGGATAAGGTGCTGCTTCAAGTCACCACAATATCGTCAATGTAGAGGAATTGAAGTTTTCATTCTGAATCAGACTGGTTCACCTTTTAGATGAGATTTCTGAAAACCCAGTTTGGGGGTATCTATATCACTGATGATTACATGTCACTGTGATCTGGACGGTACATTGGAAGTCCTGTTGTTTCGAGCAGGTTAGTTGACACTGGAAGTATAGTTTAGTTTCATACACACAGGTTTACTGTATACTCAGTCAGATGGTTTAGCTGGTATAGAAAGTTCCAAAGTAAGTTTATAGTTCTCTCATACACTCAACCCCTAACAGTTCAGGACAGTAGCTTGCACCTAATTTAGAAAAGTAAACACAACTTGTCTTGATAAATAAGTTTCATTTTAGTTCATGTTGCTAAGGCAGCAAAGGTCATATTATTTTGCTGTTAATTAGAAAGTGTCCCAGCAAAGGCAATCTATAAATGGGCATGTAAATGGAATTTATTAATATATCAGCTATTACATTGGGTCAATAAAAACCAAAAGAACTGCGGATGCTGTAAATCAGGAACTAAACCAAAAGTTGCTAGAAAAGCTCAGCAGGTCTGGCAGCATCTGTGAAGAGAAAATCAGGGTTAATGTTTTGGGTTCAGTGTTCCTTCCTCTGAGCTGTTCTGCAGAAGGGTCACCGGACCCAAAATGATTACAGGATCTCACACTGAGTACCAGCACCAATCTCGTAACAGGAAGGTTTGCACCTGTACAGAATCTTTCATGACTTCAGGATGTTCTAAATGATCTTTACAGCCTGTGAAGTACTTGTGGAGTCACTGCTGTAATTTACAAAGTCCATGCCCTTTTAATGTGGGCGGATGATGATCAACATTATTCAGCCATGTGCACTTTCCAGTGGCATTCACTGGATAACTGCTGGGAGCTGGAATTTAGATTGTTACACTTTCTTTTTATCTTTTGCTTTCAGATACAGATTCTAGTTACACTGCACAAGATCAATTCTATGTGATTTAGCAGTGAGTTGGATTAACTTGCTCTTGGTTTGCATGGAAAGTATATTTCTGACACATGGCAAACTCGCACTGAGCTGTACACTAATTTTACATGTCTGTTTCTGAAATGAATATTGGAGTCAGTTATTGTAGAAGAATATTTTATACTTCTGCCTTTTTTTAATATTTCACAATTTCAGCAACAGTCTATCAATTTACCTCTGGTATGAAAGAGTGCACTTCAAGAAAATACCTGTCAAATATTTCACTTTTGAAGGAACCTTTTTTCTAAGGTTTTGGAGTAGATTTGTAGCTCGGGTTGTGGGTGTTGAGATTGGTTGGCTCACCGAGCTGGTTTGTTGTTCTGCAGACGTTTCGTTACCGTGCTGGGTAACATCCTCAGTGCAGCCTCTGATGAAGCGTCGGTGTGTTTTTCTGCCTGGTTTTTAAACTCTGGGGTCCGTTGTGATGGATTGCCTCACTTCCGGGTTTCCTCCGTAGTGGAATGTATATGGGGTCGAGTTCAATGTGTTTATTAATAGCGTGCTTCGTGGAGTGCCATGCTTCCAGGAATTCTCGTGCCTGTCTCTGCCTAGCCTGTCCCAGGATCTTGGTGTTGTCCCAGTCGAAATCGTGGTTCTCCTTGTCCGTGTGCATTGAGATGAATGAGTATGAGTGTTGTTCTGTGGAACAACAAACCAGCTCGGCGAGCCAACCATCCTCAAAGGAACCTTTTTTATTCTACAAAATATCCAGTCACATTGAGATTCTAATCTCTCTCACTCACTCACTGATCAAAGAAAGACCATACTGGATCTGCCTAGTTTTTAAATGAGAATGATTTTTTTATTCTAAATGTTCAGCTAAATCACCCAAATTCTAATGAAGGATCAAATCCATGTCATTGAAATTTGTGTCTCTTTCAGATATTTATCGCTAGCTTTGTATCTCCAACAGTTTGTAGCTTTCAAGTTTCATTTCACACACTCTTCCATAATTGATGAACCCAGTCATAACTGTTTACTCTTAAGTGGGCCCCTACTCCCTGGACAGTGCAATGTGAACTGCACAGAAGGTGTTTTTCCAGTTATCATTCATTCATGGGATGTGGGCATCACTGGCTAGACTAGCATTTATTACCCATCCTTAACTCTGCCTCCTCCCCCCAAGCACACGCGCACACACATGGTGATGAGCTGCTGTTTGAATTACTGCAGTCCATCTGGTATAGGGACACAGCCTTGATGTGCCATTAGGGAAGCTGTTCCAGGATTTTGACCGAGCGACACTAAAGGAATAGCATTAAGTCAGGATGGTGAGTGGCTTGGAGGAGAACTTGCAGGGGGTGGTGTTCCTATGTACCTGCTGCCCTTGTCCTCCCACACAGGAGAAGTGACAAGTTTGGAGGGTGCTGTCAGAGGAGCCTTGGTAAGTTGCTGCAGTGCAATTTTGTAGATAGAAACACACACACTGTGTAATTTAAAATGTTGTACAACTTAACTCATTCAGCTACTTGTCTATCAGGATGTGCGTACATAATTAACTTTGATAGAAATGAGTTCCAGCCATAAGTTGAGGCTGATTTGGAGATCAGTTTGGAGTTGGACAAACCCGTTCTGAGAAATGGTGCAAATGCTGGTTTGCAGAGAGCCATCTTGCCAGGCACTGTTTTATTGTTGCAATCAAAGATTTCCCTTTTAACAAGGATCACAAGGAAGATAAATGCATCAATTTCAATGTTGATCTTGCTTTGACTTGTTGGTTGTTGGAGGTTGCAATTTTTTTTTATTTTGAGAGAAGATCTGATTCCTACTGTGGTTTAGGGCATTGGTATGAATTAGCCTAATCCCTGCATCACACATCATTCAGAAAGGGTCATCAAAAAGGACGTGTTTAATGTTGAAACTATACTGTGGTAGGTTTTGTACCAAGAGCTTGACAATAATGGATCAAAGTGGTTTCTCTGTTTGTGCGCCAGCCATCTCTGAACGATAGACCCTCCCAACTCAACGTAGAATCTGTCTCATTCCTACAATGTTGAATGCACTTTCCTCCCGTTTTAAGCCATGAAAACAGAGTTATGTATGTGTGTGTCTTTGTGTGTACGTGCTAGTAATCCATCCAGTCTTGATAAGGTTGGAATGTACCTTCACTCTTGCACTTTTGTGGTTTTGCTTGTGGGATTACATTCGAATGTGACTTACAGTGCATCTTGACTCCTTTTATATATAAAAAAAATCTTCCAAAGGTTTGCTGGTTGAATCTTCTTTGATCGTATACTATTGAGTAATAATTTATTGCAAAGATCTGTATGTTATTAATTGAACTTCTTGGCTGCCTTGATTGGAATGTTCATGTTAATGTTTCCTGCATGAACCTCTGAACCTGTAATATTTCCTGGGGAACTGTGTGAAGGCCAGCTTTTCCTCTTGTAGAACAAAACCAGAAGTTGCTGGAAAAGCTCAGCAGGTCTGGCAGCATCTGTGGAGAGAAATCGGAGTTAGCATTTCGGGTTTGGTGACCCTTCCTCTGAGCCCTTTCCTCTTCTAGATTGTTTTTCCCCTCAGTTGTAAAACTAATCAGTAGAACAGAATTAAATCTCCAAATAAATTGACTTTTTTTTAAAATAAAGAATGTGTTTTCTAAACTCTGGTAAATCTACACAACATTTTGTTAAATTTTTAACCAATACCACTCACTTTCTTTACATAATGTATGGAATGCAGTGGACAGTTTACTTGTAATAATGAAGTCAGTACAAACCCCTCTCAATACATGCGGAAATTTAACAGCAGCCCTAACAGACTTGGAAATGTGTTTAAAATTGTGTAAAAGCTACACACATTAAACAAACTGCCTCTCATAAATATATCATTAACTGTGCAATTTTATTACATCAGAATTTCTACTTAAATGTAAATATATCATTAAATTTAGATTGTAATTTAAATATCTTTTACTCTTCAGTTGTTCTTGGACTTCCTTTGATTTGAGTTTTACAAATTGTATCATATTTATAGTGATTCAAGTTCTTTTTAACAACCAGTTTGAAGAACCACAGTGCTTCTGAAGTTTTCATTTCCCTGTTTTTAACTGTACTCTATGCTTAGATTTTTTTAAAATCTGAAACACAGTTGTGTCAAGCTGTGCTGAAAAAGTTCACACCCTGAACTATGAATTACCAGCAAATTGAATGAATAGTTTCTGAATTGTAACTGGGATCATAATGTTTTCTGTTTATACAACTTGATATTTGTTGAACATTAGTAAAGTTGTTATATGTAGGAGACTATTTTTCAAATCTTTTACTAAATAAATTAACCTGTGTTTTATATATTGAGGTTTCTGATGGTTTATGTTTGTTCACTCTGCTGATTTTCATTTTTCAAGTGTAAGATTAATTCCAATCCTGCAGCAATGTTGTAAATCAAGCATTAAAAATGAGGGAGGATTCACCCTCTAGTCTCATTTTGGCAATGTTTAAAATGTTAGTACACAGGTACAGCAAATGATTGGCAAGAAAATGAAATGGAATATGAAAGTAGGCAGCTTTAGCAACAGTTCTACATATTAGCTGGTGGCATGGTGGCTCAGTGATTTAGCACTGCTGCCTCACAGCACCAGGAACCCAGGTTCAATTCTAGCCTCGGGCTAGAGTTTGCACATTCTCCCCCTGTGTTTCCTCTGGGTGCTCCGGTTTCCTCCCACATTCCAAACATGTGCAGGCTAGGTGGATTGACCATGCTAAATTGCCCATAGTGTCCAGGGATGTGCAGGCTAGGTGGATTAGCCATGGGATGTGCAGTGTTCCAGGGCTAGGGTAGGGGGCTGGGTCAGGGTGAGATGCTCTACAGAGGATTGGTATGGACTCAATGGGCTGAATGGCCTGCTTCCATACTGTAGAAATTCTATACTGCATAATTTTGGTCATCTTATTTAAAGACAGAAGCAATCGGAGAACATGCATTCTATGAAATGATCTTGCGAGGAAAGGTTGGACGGTTTAGAAGGATGAGTGGTGATCTCATTGAGATGTAAGATCCTGAGCGAACTTGACAGAAAGAATGCTGAGAGGATGTTCCTCCTCCTAGGAGGGACCAAAACGAGTGAACACCGTTTACAAACAAGAGGTTTCCCATTGAAGATGAAGGATCGAGTTTTCACTGAAGTGATCTATTGGGCAGGTGGTGTGGCAGAAAATTGATGTTATCATTTCTTCCCAAGAATTCCACAGATGTGGCCATGGATTAATTCCTTTATTTACCTGAGCTGTTCCCAGGAACAGAAAGCAGCCATCAGCATCAGGGCAAACGCCTATTGGTTCAACAAAAGAATCAATTAAAAATTCCTGTAACTGTTGGAATGACTGTGCAGTGCAAGGGGACATGGAAGATTTTGCCAGACTCCCCAGTAAAAGGAAAACCAGATTTTACTTCCTGTATTGTATTGTATTGTACTGTCTCACTGGCAGCAATTATTGGAGTCAGTGGTATATAATGTGGTTGGAAGTTATACTGTCCAGACCAGTGGGCTCCCAAGCTTATCTGCTGAAGCTCACAGGTCACTGGTAATTTGATCTATTTTTACTGATGCACCCACGGGCAATATACTGCCATTGAGACTCTGGATTCTATCTGAACCACACGGCCTGCACTCGTAGTCTGCTGCATCTCAGCCTCTGCCTCACAAATGATGATTGCAAGTTCTGAAAACACTTTTTCTTACAATTATATATATATATCATTCTGTTCCATCATAAACAAATCTCGAGTGATACAAGTTATTTATTCTTCCCTTTAGACCCTTTATTTGTTTGTTCATGCGATGTGACATAACTGGCTGGGCCAGCTTTTATTACCCATCCCTAACTGCCCTCTGGGTATTTGAGTTTACGAGTCTGGAGTTACATGTAAGTGGGACTGTTTAGGAATGGTCCCTTTACTTCCTTGAAGAGCATTAGTGAAGCAGGGTGGGACTTAACACGCTTGACTGTGGTTACAGGACCACTATTAGATGAACCTTCTTTAATTTTGATTTTTTTTTGTTGAATTCAAGTGTTGCCATCTGCCATGGTGGGATTTCAGAACACTAGCCTTGGCTTTCTGGGTAACTAGTCCAGAGGAATTACCACCACCTGCCATCTCTTACTGATGGTCACATCCTCTGTCACAGACACTCCCGCACACTGACTCACTCCCCCTGCCACACACACACCCCACACCCCTTCACCCTCATATATATACCCTCTGCCACATAGGATGTGATTGGTGATGTTAGTGTTACATTATAATAAATTATTAACAGATATTCTCACTGTGCTCCAGTTAATCTCCTGAAAGCTGCAGGCCTTTTGTTACCTAATACTGCCAACACTTTCTTACCATTTTCGTGACAGGTCTGTAGGGGACCTGCGTGGTCCAGGTAACTCAGTTGTCATTTTGTGATGTGGAAGCGCTGGCTGAATTTACAAGTGCGAGCATTTGCTGCAGCAGGTTTTGTGAAGTGCTTTTTTGTGTGTGTCAGGGTCAGAATTAGAAACAATTAATATCAGACCAGATCCAATTCAGCTTCTGTGGCTCATCTGCTGATGACAGATTTAGTTCAGGAGTCATCAGGCTGGTTGCAGAATGAATTGTCTGTCTGTGTTAAGTAGGCAGTGATTTAAGCCAGACCTGTCTTGCAGGTGGCTGTCTGAATCCTGTAAACCTTTAAAGGGACCAGAATCCAATAAACTCAGATTAAACCGTTGCTTCCCCACTGGACCTTTTTGGGTAGGCAACAGCCTGTGTTCATTTCTGGCAGCACCTGACCAGTGGTTAGTTACCCCGATGCGAATGGGTCAGGCAGATGCCATCATTACAGGGAAAGTTAAACCGTACCAGTGGAAGGTGTGGGGTTGGGGGCAGTGTTGCAGTGTCTTCTAACTGTGTCAAATTGGTCTCAACATTGCATTCCCACAATTTCTGGACTCCAAAGAATGTCATTATCCACTAGCTCTAGGGGGGAAGGGATTCAGAGTTGAATCAGAATCTACTTCCTCACTGCCTCATAATAAATGGAATGTCCAACTTGCTGAGCCCTTCCACCCTGATGTGACTTCTCTCAATCACTGAGCTGCTGAGCTTCCCTTCTCAACCACCCACCCCCCCACACACAATTCAAGGCTTCTTCATTATCCCGTTGGGTTATTTATAAGAGGGCTGCAGGGATTAATGAATCAAAGGGAGGAAGAACAGCAAAGGAACTTCACCTTTCACTAATGCATTAAATTATTAAGTCAGGAGTGTGATAGAATACTCCCCACGTGCCTGGATCAGTGCAGCTTCAACACTCAAAAAAGCCTGATATTATTCAAAGCCAAGTAGCCTTACTGATTGCTATCGCATCCACAAACATCCCCCACTGACGCTCAGTAGCAGCTGTGTGTACTATCTACAAGAGGCGTTTTGCAGCAAATCACTAAAAATTCTCAAACAGCACCTTCCAAAGCCATGACCTCTACCTTCTAGAAGGACAAGGGCAGCTGATACCCGGGAACACCACCCCCTGCAAGTTCCCCTCCAAACCCCTCACTGTCTGCCTTAGAAATATATCGCTGTCCCTTTACTGTCATTGGGTCAATATCCTGGAGTTCCCTCCCAAAGGGCATTGTGGGGTTTCTGTGCTCAGGAATGCAGTGGTTCAAGAAGGCAGCTTCGGGGTAACTACAGACAGGCAATAGATACTGTTTAAATGCTGAATTACTCATATCAAATAAACAAACCATCAAAAAGGAAACAGGTCAAACTTTTCATCGCCATGTTACATATTTGGCATATATCCAGCCTCTCAAACAATTGTCAATAATCCGTATCAGATTTACAAGGAAGTCCTTCATTTACTTTGCCTTTGCTTGTTCTCATCAACAAGGTCCTGTTAGAGAGAAAGTGATTTCCCTAAGCCGTGATTTGTTCACAAGGCGAGAGTCTGCTTGCTCACATTTTGTGTGCCCACGATAAACAGAAAGCTGATGCTGGAGTTCCCTGCATTGGAAAAGGATGGCACAAACAGGATCTGTTGACTTCGACAATGGACCTAAATCCTGGCTCTTACTGATGGTCACACCCTCTATCCTAGTTACTCCCTCACACTGACTCACTACCCCCCCACCCACATACACACACACACACACACACACACACACACACCCTCTGTCACAGACACTCCCTCGCACTGATTAACTACACAAACACACACACACATTCCCTCATATACACACCCTCTGTCACTGACCCACTACCTCAACATCCTGCCCTACACACAACACACACAAACATTATAAACATACATATACACACACACCCACATACCCTCCCTTTACTGGGGGAATGTGATTAGACCAGGAGTGTGGGGGTGGGGAAGAGGGTCTCGAATCCCTTGATCAGAAGGCTGTAAGGGCTGAATCGAATTTGTACCGTCCTATCTCTGCCCATTGGCCAGACTGACATGTGAAGACTTGGGCTGTTTCAGATGGAGAATGTTGTTCTCAGGACAATAACCGCAGGCCCATAATTCAGGCATAACCAGTGGGAACACGCTCTGTAAACAGAAAGAACCTGGCCATGAGGGCTGCTGAGGAAAGGTGCCACAAAAGATTGTTCTACCCATGGGCTGAATAGCTTCCCTCTTCAGATTAAAAAAGAATCAGGAATTAAGAGCCTAATGATGACCATGAATCCATTGCCAATTATCAGGACAAACCCACCTGGTTCACTAATGTCCTTTAGGGAAGGAAACTGCCATCCTTACCTGGTCTGGCTGACGTGTGACTCCAGACCCACAGCAATGTGGTTGACTCTTAACTGCACTCTGGGTAATTAGGGATGGGCAATAAATGCTGCCTATCCAGAGATGCCTACGTCCCATGAATGAATAAATTAAAAGAGATCCTCTGTGGTACCCAGCTGTACCAGAGAGCCATCCTAAGTTTGGACAGGGTGGAACTGAGTGCTGTCCCTCCACTGACCCCACGACTAACAGAGATTGCACTTTTCTGGTATCGACATCTGTTCAGTAAATGAACCCCACTTCAGGAGGGTAAGGCAGAGCTGGGTAAAACAGTCTTTCACTTTTCAATTGGCTTAGAAAGATGTAACAATTGTGGATTGGTCAGGTGTCCAATGGCAGGGTTGGTGGGGGGAGGAGGAGGGTGCAGGGCATTTGGAGAGAGGAGATCACGTGATAAAACCTCCAAGAACCCATTCGGCTCAAGTTGATTCGTGCTCCACTTGAGAAAGTGCCCTGACGCTCGACCCTCCCTTCTCCCAGGGTCAAAAACTGTAGATTTAATCAAATTA